ATTTTATTATATTTATTTATTTATCAAAAATATATATAAATACAAATATTCCCTTAACTTAAATAAAAATAATTTTTATTATAAATTATGAAAAAACTTTTTCTATTGATTTTTTGTTTACATATAAAAAAGATGTACAAAAAATTTTTTATTTCTTTATTAATAAAGTCTTAGCACTATTCCTAAATCAACTTGAAGTTTTACTTTAAAAGATATTTTCAATTCTTTTTCTTGTTTATATTTATCTTTAAACAAAAACTTGATTTTCTGTAACCTAAAAAAGTTAAAACCATATTTTTTACTTATAGCAAGAAAGTTCTATAAGAAAAAAAAACAATAATATAGTATTTAAAGTTTTTCATATTAAAGTATATTTATAGATATCTTTTGCAATAAGAAGTAATAAATATCAAATTATATTCTCAAAATAGTTGACTATTGTATTTTTTCTTTTATATTTATTTAAATTTTTTGATTTTTTAGAAAATTTGCCGATCTCAATTTGACTTTAAATTTTAAATAATATAATTTATTGTAAAATATAATTGATGAATATAATACATAATTCAATAATGTTATTAGTAATAGAAAGGGTTGATTAATATTATATTACTACTCCACTTCTTTAATTTAGTTAATTTATAAATTAAGCTCTATGAGATCAATAAGATATAAGTAACAAGTTTTTAAAAATTATTGTTTTTTCAAGCCAAGATCTTTTTTTTTTTTATTATTTCAATTAAATAAAATTTAAAATCAAAGTCTTTTTTTAATTCTAATTAAGTAATAAGATCAAATAGTTTTTAGTTTATGCTAAGTTTCAATTCCTTAATTACAATTAAGAATATATTTTCTCAAAAGTTGTTAAAAAATATTATAATTGATAAAAATCCCTTTGCTATTTACTTTTTTATTATTACAAGGCAAAAAGATGATTAGTGAATTCAATTTTTTGGATAATAGAAGATGTTCATCAGTAAAAAATTTTTAATTATATATACAGTAACTGCTGGAAGATATAATATTGAAACAATATAACATTATTTCTACTGAATTATATAAAAACCTAGGTTCCATTATAAGTTATCTGTTTTTATAGATAAATAAAAAATTACTACTCAAAAAAGTTGAAATTAAATATATTATTAGAAGTAAAGATTTACACTAGATGATAAGTCTTTTCAGATGGCACTTAAAAAGGAAATTAAGATCAAGAATGAATAAGTTTCTTAGATAGTCAGAAGAAGAAAGGATATTTCAATCTAATATTTTTTATTGAGAAAAAGTCTTGAGAAGCAGATTTTTGAAGAAAGCTAAAAAATTTTATTATTTTTTTTTCTTTTTGTTTTCATATTCATTTACTTGAACATTTTTAAATATACTTCTTCCACTTTTTTTCAATTATCCTTTTGTAGTTTCCTATATTCCAATAATTTAGTAGAACATTCAACAATAATAATTTACTAGTGATAAAGTAATTGATTAGAAGGAAATTTATCCAAAGACTATTATAGAGTAAAATATTGTCTTTAAGGTCAAACTTAAAGGCAATTATTGTTTATGATGAGCTTGTTAAATTTGATAGAAATTTTAGCTATGTTGCTTGAGTGAAAATATATTCATATTTTCAATTGATTAATAAACTATGATCTAGCTTGGCTATGAATACTCAAAAAAATAATAATATATAAAAATGAATTAATTATCATTTGAAAGTCAAGACGTTTATTAATATAAAAACATAATTATAAATAAAAAAGAATAATAATTCTTATTTAAATCACTTAAAATAATATCTAAAATTTTAATCTCGCATAAATATAATTAACCTAACAGTAAATAATAAAATAAAAATATTTGTTACTGTAGATTTAAAGAAATATAAATTTATGGAGTCACAATTAAATTTGTCTTTGAAGTGTGATTTCCTAGAAACTTCTTAATATACAAAATAAGAGATAATACACATTATTCAATCTAATATTCATTATTGGACATTTTGTTGATGACATCAGGTTCTTCAACATCCTTAAACAGACAGCGTATAAATTAATGGAAAATTTTTACATAGACTACAAACAAGATTAATGCAACAAGAACAATGATAATAAGGGCGGTTATTAACCGATTAGTTGCCATACTAAAATTGTAAAATTAGATCAGTCATGACAAAAAATAAAATAATAAAAAGCGCATCTGTTATTGGATTCTTACCGACGAGTCATATTGTTGAGGGTGCGCGTAGCTTTGTCAATGTAGGAATCTGCCTCCATCAGCTGGAATAAATATTTAACAATGAGTATAGTATTAAAAGCGATTAATAATATAATATATCACATACCGTGTTCCTTGTGTGTAAAATTTGTTTTCTTTGTCTACGAATATCTTCTAAAACATTAGATCCAATAATTTCTGCAAAAAATATTCATTAATAGTGAGCATTAAATAAAATCGGAATTTAATTAATAATAATTAATGGAACGAGGATAAACCTGTTTCCAAAGCAATTCTATGACTATCTTGTAGGCGTCTGCTACTATCAGCTAGTCTTTCAGTTCCACTCAAAAGTTTGGAACGTTGGTTCATCGACTCACTATCAAGGTCGGTACCATTAGATCCAGCAAGTAATTCATCTCGATCTGAAGTTCCTGTAATTCGTGACCTAGCAGCCCTCTACAAAATCCCAATTTTACTAAATATTCAATAATTCTCCAATATTCTCGACAAACTTATATATCAAATGCAATGAATCTTACCAAATCACGTTTCAACTTTTCCACATTACTTTTATAAACTCTCACTTTAGCCTGAAGGCGGGCACGGGTTGCGGTCGGTAAATTCATAACTTCCATTTCCATTTGAGCAACCTAATGTCATTCGGATATTAATGATTCATTCTTTATTTTCTTTTTTTTTAAAATATATTAAATGCATAACATACGATTTCCTCAGCTTCTTCAATTTCACGTTCAGCTGCACGGGTTGTAGCTTTACGCTTTTCTAAAGGTTTTAAAATGCGTACGAGTTAACTCCAATATCTTCGTCGAGAAAATGATGTCGAAACAAGCAAAATATAAACCTCCTGACTGTGATGGAAGAGTAACATTTATTTTTTGTAAAATACTCTGAGAGATTTGCTCAAAGTCTTGCTCATATTGCTCAAAAAGTTCCGACCTGGTAATATCCATTGTAAATGAAACAAATGTGGAATTTGTTGTATGTCGAAAAGTAGAAAAAATTTTAATGGAATCAATTTCTTATAATCACATTGTTGTAAAAGATGTAAACATATACTAGATATAGCAAATCGTTTTATATCATATCTACCACGTGACAAAATTTTTTATAGGTCAAACCAATTTCATTAATTTTCCCGATTAACTATTCCGCCACACGGAAGGTCTAAGACTATTTCTAATTTAAGCATCAATAGAAAAAAATGAATATTACTCAATTTAGCAGATTGACGGTCTTTAAATTTCGACCACAATAATCAGTCTTTGCTTGATGTATCCAGGACAACAGTACAAACAACAATACGGCTCAGGCTCCCAGCAACCTACAGCACAACAGAATCCACAACCACCACCATATTATCAAACTCCACCTCAACCATACCCATATCAACCACCGCCTGGCGGTTATGCCCCCTCCGGTTTTCCGACTGGAGGTTATGCACCTCCTCTAGGTCCACCACCAACTTATCCCGTTCCATATCAACAGTATCCTCCCCCTCCATATCCTAACCCGTATTATAATAACTCTGTGCCATACACGTCGACTCCACAACCTGGTGTGGTTAATTCAACGTATCAAAACTATCAGTTAACGGGACGAAAAAAGGCTTTGCTAATTGGAATCAATTATTTTGGATCTCAATTTCAATTAAAAGGTATTTATTATTCTCTGCAGTTCATAGATGCAGATATTATGATTAACTGCCTTTCAATCTAATTATACCCAGGTTGTATTAATGATGTCAAGAATATAAAAGAATTTCTGGTCGCAAATTATGAATTCCGTGAAGAAAATATGTTGATCTTAACGGATAACCAGTCAGATCCAAAGAAGATCCCTAACAGGGCCAATATTATAGCGGCCATGAAATGGCTAGTACATGATGCCAGACCAAATGACTCGTATGTTATGTTTCATGATACACAGAACGCAATTGTGTTGTATATACAGTATATGATTCAAATGTTTAGTTGATATTAATTAATTTTACTTACTTATTTTCTACAGTCTGTTTTTTCACTACAGTGGTCACGGTGGTCAAGTAGAGGATCTTGACGGCGACGAAGACGATGGATTTGATGAGACAATTATGCCGGTCGACTTCCAAACAGCTGGACAGATTGTTGATGATGTAAGTCCTGCTCTATTCATATCATTACACATAATTTAACATTATTTAACGTTATTAATTTTATGTGTCATGTTTTAGGAAATGCACGACATAATGGTGAGATCACTTCATAAAGGTAAATTTTGCTTTGTTGCATCATTGACTTTGCATGATCCCGTAATAATACGCGATTTCTTTAGGTGTAAGGTTAACAGCCATTTTTGATTCGTGCCATTCTGGAACTGCACTTGATTTGCCATACATATATTCAACACATGGAGTAGTTAAAGAACAAAACATTTTGGCTGATGGAGGGAATACGCTTATGAATGTAGGAATGTCGTACCTTCGGGGTGACATTGAAGGAATTAAAACAAGCATAATGGCATTTGGGAAGAAAGCGACATCTGGAAGAAAAATAAATGAGCAAAACAAACACACGAAAGCGAGTGAGGCAGACGTAATCATGTTCAGTGGGTTAGTGCTTTTCATTTTATCATATATATATATACTGTATATATAATTTATGATGCTGAATTATTTATTTATTAAACAGATGCAAAGATGGACAGACATCCGCGGATGCTAATGAGGCAGGTCAAAATACCGGAGCCATGTCATACGCCTTTATAAAAACGTAAATATATCTTTTACTTAATATTTTATATTTGAGAAGAAAAAGCAATCAACAATTTAACTATATATATTATAACTAAATTAATATATGTTAGACTAAGCAAACGTAAGCATCTTTCATATCAACAATTGTTAATTGGAATTAGAGATGAGCTTTCAGGAAAATATACACAGAAACCTCAACTCAGCGCGTAAGTTATTGTCATTTATAATAAGCATGTTCCCGATTTTCAATTAAATAATTTGATCCCTTATACCTCAGGTCACACGAAATGGATATGAGTCAAATGTTTTTGATGTAGAATCGCTATTATATCTCTTAGAAATTATTTATAACTCTTATATTGTTACTCGCTGCAAATAAACACTTGCTTATCATTATATATTAGACAAGGACGTCTTGTAAATATTGTGCTATGACCGGAGTGATCAAAGTCTTTATTATATCTTTTATTGTCAATTTAATATCAGATAGTTTTAGAACTCCGTGTTACATACGCACTGTATATATTGTTTGCATTTTAAATAATAGTTATTTGATTATTTTTATTATCAATATATTAATTATTATTGATTTTAATAATGAATTTTTTTTTTTTAATCCACAGTCATGTTATTATGGCATATATTTATTAGAAGTATTAAATATTACAATCAATATTATAATGACTTTCATATAACAACTAACTTGTTATTGTATATTAATAACTAAGAATTACATTACTTAAAAAATATGAAAAATTTTATTAACCTAATTTAGTTAAACAAAACAAAGTCCACAACTATATACTTTAAGTTAAATTTATAAATAATAAAAAATTTTTTTTTTGATTTCGCACTTTAATCTTTAATTTTAAAAACAATTTATCATTATTGATTATTTCAAAATCAATAAATTATTAAAATATATTTATATTTATTAATTTTTTTTTAAAAAAAATATTTTATTGAGATACAGTATTTGAAAAAATAATTGAAAATTTTTTAAAAAATATAAAATTAAAAAAAATATATTTTATTTTATTTTTTTTTTTTTAAACTATGATTAGATTAATATTATATATTTATTAATTATTAAGAAAATCAATAGAGATATATAAGACTATTATATTATGATTAAACTAAATCTCATATTGACTCACTTATCAATAGTTTTCAATTTTCAAAAGAGTTTTAGTCTCTAAGTATAGCCTTGGAAACAATATTTCACTCTATAGTAGATTTTGAATGAAAATTTTTCTAATTTACACATTATTAACAAATTATTATTACTTATTATTTTTCAAAGAACTAATTCCAAGAAATTACAATAGAAAAAAAAAAAAAAGAAAAAGATATCTAAAAATATACAAATGTATTATATTAAAGAGAAAGTGAAAAAAAAAAAAATAAATGTGTTTCATATCCTTTAAAAAATTTTTATTAAAACTTTTTTTTTATTAAAATCTAATTATTTTAAGATATCTTTTTTTTTTTTACTATTTAAGAAACTTATTTATCTGTAATCTTAATATTTTTTTATAACTATTGAAAGTATTTATTATTTACTTAAATCCAATGTCTTGCTTGATATTTTTTTTTTTTTTGATATTAATTTTATATTTATTAGTACAAAAAATAATAAATCATTAATTCTTATGTAACCTTTCAGTCATGTTATATAGCTTCCAATATCTTTTAACAATCATGCCTAATTAAAGAAATTTTGTTAGTAATCATTTTTTATTACTCAAAAAATCAGATTTTCTAATAATTTTTTTACCTTATAATAATAAGAGAAGTAAAATCAATGATAGTAATTTTCATTAATTAGAATATTATTATACAATATTTGGGCAATTATTCTTGAAGGCGATCAAAATATTAAATATGATTTTTTCGGCCCCCATTTTTTAATAATACGTATATAATGCAAATTTTAGGATCACAATTATAAGGTCCGAAAAATCCCTGTCCGCCTTCGAAAATAATTACCCATTTGAAGAAATACATTTTCAATTTTGAAAAAAAGTAATGATGCATAATCTTTTACTTTTTAATCTTATGCCTGACTAGAATAAGGAAATAATCTTTTTTATATATTTTATTTAATCAGAATAATAAGAAATTAAAGAACTCGGCTTAAATAAATAATTATCTTTTTATTATCTAAAGAATTTAATATCTACCTTAATGATCTTATATATATATTTTTTAATTTGATTATACTTCATTTGGAGAAGTAAAAGAGTTTATATTAGTGATTTTTTTTTTCATCAATAATATTATCAAAATATATAATATGATCAATAAAAACTTGTTTATTCTACATCAAATATGTTTTATATTAATCAATTACTTTTAATAAAAGCTATATTGAATTTATATCACTTCAAAATTTAGAATCTAACTGAAATAAGTAAAATTCCTTAAAAATTCTAAAAAATGTATAACTCTAAAAAGTAGAAACAATAAATAAGAAAATTTTTAAGTTTAGATTTATATTCATATATCTATTTACTGCACAAAACTTCTAGTTGTATTTTTACTTCAAGAAATAGATTTTTAGTACTTTATACTTGATTTTTTTTTTTTTTTAGAACTTTCTTACTTTAAGTAAAAAAAATATATTTTGACTTTTTTTAATTATTGAAGCCTAGTTTTTGTGTAAAAAGAAATATAAACAAAAAAAAAAGCTGAAAAATATTCTTGAAATTATTTTTTAAGTTGTTTTAAGAAAAGTAATAAGACTTTATTAATATAAAAATATAAAACTTTTTGCAAATATCTTTTTTGTATATTGTTAAAAAATCAATAAAAATGTTTTTTTATATCTTATAAATTAATTTTTTTTTAAATCTATAATCAAGCTAGTATTGTATATTTATTAATTATTATAAAAATTGATAGAGATATATAAGGCCATTATATCATAGTTAAACTAAATCTTGTATTGTCACACTTGTCAATGACTTTCAATTCTCAAAAAACTTTAGTCTCTAAGTGTAATCTTGGAGACAATATTTCATTCTATAATAGATTTTGAGTGAATAATTTTTTAATTTACCCATTATTGCTAACAGGTTGTTGCTATTTTTTATTCTTTAAGAAACTGTTTTTAAAAAACTACAAAAGAGAAAAAAAAAGAAAAAGAAAAGAGGAATATTTAAAAATACACAAATATACTTATATAAAAATAAAAATTAAAATAAAATAAAAGTATTTAATTTCCTTCAAAAGATCTTTGTTAAAAACTTCTTCTTATTAAATGTCAACCCTTCTAGGATATTCTTTTTCTCCCTGACTATTTGAGAAACTTATTTATCTATAATCTTGATTATTTTCTTGTGACTGTCTAAAATACTTATTGTCTACTCAAATCCAATATTTTGCTCAATGCTTTCTTTTTTTCAGTCTTGATTTTGTATTTATTCATGTAGAAGAATAGAATAACTGATAATAGATCCTAGGCTCTTATGTAGTTTGTTAATTATGTTATGTAACTTTTGATATCTTCTAGTAATTATACTTAGTTAAAATTTTTTACTAGTAAATATCTTCTATTATCAAAAAAGTCAGATTCCTCAATAATCTTTTTGCTTTGTAATAGTAAAAAGGATAAGATCAATAGATATCTAGAAAAATATATTTTCAATCCTAAAGAAGAGCAATACTTTATATTTCTTTGCTTTTCAATTTTATAGGCTGACTAGAATAAGAAAATAATTACCTTCATATACTTTGTCTAATCAGAATGATAAAAAGTTAAAGATTTTGATTTGAACAAATAATTATCTTTTCACTATCTAGAAAATTTAATATCTATTCTAATGGTCTAATAATTTCTTTGCTTTTATTACACATTATTTGAAAGAGTGGAGGAGTTTATACCATTGATTTCTCTTTCTTTTACAAATAATGTCATCAAAATATGTGATATAACTAGTAAGAGCTTTTTTATATTTTACTACCAATGTGTTTTATGTTAACTAATTATCTTTAGCAAAAGCTATGTCAATTTTGTATCACTTCAAAATTCAGAATCAAGTTGAAGTAAACAAAATTCATCAAAAACTTTGAAAATAGAATGACTCTCAGAAGGAAACAACTATGAAGAGAATAGTTTTCAGGTTTAGGCTTTGTTTATCTATCTATCTATTACAAAACATCTCTAGTTATATTCTTGCTTTAGACAATAGGTATTCAATACTTTATTATTGGCTTTTCTTTCTTTTAGAACTTTCTTATCATAGATAAAAAAAAGTATTTCTTGACTTTTCTTAATTACTGGAAGTCAAATTTTTGTTTAAAAAGAAATATAAACAAGAAAGGAAAGTATAAAGAACTCTTGAAGTTATCCTTCAAGTTGTTTTAAAGAAAGTAATAAGACTTTATTAGCTTAAAAGTATAAAGCTTTTTTGCAAATATTCTTTTTGTATATTGCTAAGGGATCAGCAGAAAAAGTATTATATTATTTATAAATTAATTTTTTTTCAAATCTATATTATATATATATAGTATATAGACTTGTGGATCTATAGCATAATGGTAGTGCTTCCAGGTTGTATTTACAAGGTCCAGAGTTGAATACTATATGAGGGTCAATGTAAAAATAAGTCACAGGTGGTAAAAGATCTTACCTATTCCATAATAATAATCAAGTATTCCAATAAGGCAATAAGAAGAATCCATCCACTTATAATAGTCAATAGCAAGACAAGATTTGAAACAATACAGGTTACTAACAAGACAAATATAAGTTATACAATTTTTCTATACAGAACCAATCATCTGACTATGATACAATAAGAACTCGTTCACTTATAAAAAGAAATATAATATACCCATAAGAAAACAAGATTCAATCTAATGTGATGCTGAAGATATAAGATAGGTCTTTAAACATAACAGATAAGAAAAATCAAAGTAGTCTGATATCCTTTACACAAGACTGTTCCAATCAAGCATCAAGACTGATCAAGATATAAGATAAACTTTTATAGATTAAAAATAAAAAACTTTAAGT